TCCCACTCGCGGAACGGCCACATGCCGCCGTCGGCGATGCGCAGGTCGTTGGGCCGCAGCGTCTTGAGCATCCCCTGGTAGAAGGTCGCCTGCGGGTGCGGCCACTCGGGCCCGCGGTGCAGCCACTGGAACGAGTAATAATAAAAGCGCGACGAGAGCGTCAGCCTCCGCGGGAACGCGCACGCCCGCAGCACCCGCAGCGTCTCAGGCCGTGGCACCTCGTCCACGTCGGATACCACGAGCACGTCGCCGTGCTGGGGGGCCTGCCGGCCGCTGAGGTGGGGGAAGACTTGCGTGAGCATGCTGTTGCGCTGCAGGTCTTCCATGTCCCAGGTGGTGCGGGGCTTGAAGTTGGGCGGGTATACGATCTCGTGGTAGATGATCTTGGAGTGGTAGGGTTTGAAGTCAGGGAGGTGGCGCTTCAGGGTCAGGGGTTTGGCGTGGTTGGTGAAGGTCTTGCTGCCCTCGACGATGACGAAATAATCGACCTCGTCCCAGGTGCTGTTGAGACGGATTTCGAGGTGGTCGAGCTCGGTGTTGAACATCATCAGGTCGTACACCTTGCGCGGCTTGCTCGGGTCCTTGGGACGGAAGGGCTTCCAGCCGTATCGGCGGCACATGTCGAGGGGGTTGTCATCGCGGGAAGCCCAGGTGGGGGCTAGCGGGTTGCTGTCGCTGCCATTGCCGTGGGCGACGCTGAGTACTAACCAGATGACGCCGAGCACAGCGGTTACCCGTACCCAGCGCCATAGCTGCCGCGTCCTGCGCGACATGGTGAATTGGTGATCATGGGAGGGGAATTGGGGAATTTGGGAAGAGGATTGGGGAGAGGAATGTGAATGCGACGAGCGTCATCTGTATTTTCCCGCCCGTCAGCACAGAGGAGCTGCCCCTTGTCACGAAACAAGTTGGTGCCTGCCGCCTTGCTGGGAAGCTGCACTCATGATTGGCTTGGCACAAACAGCACCGTGCCACACTGTCGGGCGTTAGTAAAGTTACCTTCCACATCGGGCACGTCGCCGTCAATCTCTGGGTCTGATCGCGGAAGTCTGGTAGTGAGGACCATGTGTCTCCATAACTGTCACGGACGCCGTGTTTCAGCATGGACCGGAATCTTGTGAGCAAAAAGGGAGTAATACAGAACCCTAACCCGTGTTCTGTTCAGGCGGGCACCCCATGGGCAAAGAAAGCCGAGCTCCAAGTGTGGGTGCCGACGACACCTTCGTGTGGAAAATAAAAGAACCATTAGGATACTTTTTACTAATTCGGTTTCTTTTTGCTTGATTTACGTTACTCGGTTTTCTTCATATTTCCGTCTTTTCTATAATCCATTTTCTCGTTCTCTTTCCTTTCTTTCTTGTTTCCTTTTCGAGTTCGACTTTTTCTGGCCGGGAGGTGGTGATAGCGTTGATTGGAGTCGCGGGGTAACGAGCTCGGAACCCCACCATGCCCGTCCGATGCCGAGCCGGGCTACTCGGGCAGATACAGACAGACTAAACTAAAAAATAAGAGAAATACGCTGAGTTTCTCAGGATCAATTGAGGACCAACTCCAGTTCCAATTGAGCGATTAGCGGGCGTATAAAAAACCGCAGAGCTGCCCGCACCGAGCCAACCGTCCAAGACCTCAGCCCAAGGTCGCCGACTCAACCCCTCCATCACCTACGGGTAATTGCTCACTCGCTCATCTCACTCCCCCCTCAACACCGCCACCATGTTTACCGGCATCGTCGAAGAGATAGGCAGTACGTCCTTCCCCCCTCCCCCACCACCACCACCACCACCACCAACCACCCTCACCCAACCCCTCATCTAACCACCCTTCCCCCCCACCCCAGCCGTCACGGAGCTCAACCCGTCCGACGCCACGGGCGGCACCTCGCTCACCATCACCCTCCCGCCCACCTCGACCCTCCTCTCGGACTGCCACCTCGGCGACTCCATCGCCATCAACGGCGTGTGCCTCACCGTCACCACCTTCACCGCTCAACCGCCCTCCTTCACGGTCGGCATCGCCCCCGAGACCCTACGCCTCACCAACCTCGGCTCTCTCACCCCCTCCTCCCGCGTCAACCTCGAGCGCGCGGTGCGCGCCGACACGCGCATGGGCGGGCACTTTGTGCAGGGCCACGTGGACTGCACGGCGACGCTGGTGGGGCGGGTCCCCGACGGCAACGCGGTGACGCTGCGGCTGGCGCCGGCGCGGCGGGAGGCGCTGCGGTACGTGGTGCACAAGGGCTTTGTGGCGGTGGACGGGGCGAGTCTGACGGTGACGCGGGTGGATGATGAGGAGGGCTGGTGGGAGGTTATGCTGATTGCGTATACCCAGGAGCGGGTGGTGACGGCGGCGAAGGAGGTGGGGGAGACGGTCAATTTGGAGGTGGATATGACGGCGAAGTATGTGGAGAAGAGTTTGAAGGGGTATTTGGAGGGGTTGGGGGAGGGGAGTGGGGGGTTGTTGAAGAAGGTTTTGGAAGGGGCGGCGGCTGGGAAGGGGGCCGCTGCTTAGACCACGGACTGTTCATTCATCCTTGGTTGGGGGGTCGATAGGTAAACAATATGATTACAGTTGTTTGTCTTGAGGGTATCTAAATACTAGGATTGATAAATGGGTCCGCGAGACACTGATAATTTCATACGTCTCCCCAGACCTCTGCTAGCTTCTGGCTCACGGCCTTGGTCATCTTCTTCCGCCCCATGAGATGCGCCAGCCTGTTTGCGACCAGGTCCATCTTGCGTCGCCTCCCCTCCTCGCCAGATCCACACTGCTCAAATGCCCTGACGAACTCATTCGGCGTCTTCCATACTTTTTGGATCTCGATCGCCTTCTCGCCCGTCACCCCCTTGGAACACATCAGCATCTTGAGAAACAAATCCCGCAGCGCCATGTTCTGAGATTTGGACGCCAGCGACGCAAACGCGGGATAGCTAATGTGGTGGCTGGCCGACGGCTGCGTCTCGCGGAGGTGCTTCAGCAGGGGTAGGTAGTTCTTCGTCGTGAGCACCCTGGTCGGTATCACATTGAGTGTCTTGCCCTCGTACACCGACTTGAGCATTTTGGTCATAGAGGCCAGATAGCGGATCGTGTCGTCCATCTTTTGCGTCTGCTTTAGAAAGTAGCCGTTAACTACCTGCATCGACGCCATGGCTGACTGGACCGCTTCTTCGTATTTCTGAAAGTGCGTGGAATCCATGCTGATCTCCTCCACCACGTACACGACGTTCTTCATGCCGGACCGCTTGAGACGGAACTTTTGCTCATGGAAGCGGCCGTCTCGGAGTGAGCCGAGGAGGTCATCCAGCCTCTTCCGCTCGACGATCCAGTCGAGAACCACCTCGTCGCCTTCCGCGCCTTGCCGAGCTAGCCAACCCGCCTGCCTGCATCGGGCGACCCACAGGGCGTCGCCCAGCTCCAGGGCGCGCACAATGGGTTTGGCCCCTCGCTTTGCGAGCTCTTCTTGTATGTGGTCACGATCCGTTTTGGCCCTGACTTCTCGGTTGTCTAGAATTAACTCCACCGTAAATGTGCCGGGGGCAAGCCTGATCGGTGTGAACGATGGCAACCCCGCATCGTCGGGCACGACGGTTCCATCTACCACTACGTCTCCGAACTCAGTAGCCCTCTGTGGCTGAGGCACAACGTAATCGTCGTCATCGTCGTCGTCGTCAAGGCTAATGGGCTCAGCAAATGTTGATCGAGCACTTGCACGAGCAGTTGTGGGCGGCGCAGTTTGTCTGCTGGGCCCCGCAGACGACGCAACGGTTGGGTTTTCGTTGCTGGTGCTGGCCTTGGGGACGGTCGTCTCCCGGATCCTTTTAGCCACTTCCCACCCCTCATCCGTGAGAGCATATCTCTTCAAGGGCCGGCCGCGCTCATACACTAATTCCTTTTGGAGCAGCGTCTTCATCGAATTCCATGCCGTGTAGAATTTAGTAGGGTCACTCGGCGCTGAGAACGACGAGTCGCAGTGCGGCTGAGCCTCCTCGATCAAGTCGGCCTTGGGCATCCCCACCATCTCCTGCCCTGGTTTCGAGAGAGCCACCACCAGCGCATACGCCCCAGACCGGTAGGCGGGTACGTATGCCTTTGCCTTCTTGGGCTTCTTGGCCGGGCGTGCAGTCTCTTCCTCTCCGTCATCTTGAGCTACTGTTGGTTGGTTGGCTCGTTTCTTGGAGCTCGGATGAGGGGGCATGCGCACGCCGTTTTCCTCGCAGTGCGCCCTGAGCTTCTCGGTTAGCCGCTCGCATAGTTTCGGCCCGAAGCCCTTCAGCTGTTGGAGTGATGAAGGGTGTTCAAAAGCGATGGGGCAGGCCTTGAGCGAGTCGTAGGCATGCTTGTAAGTGGTGACACCCTTGGAGTTGCGCTCCCGAGCCGTCTCCCACCATTCCTTGACCCACCCGAGAAGCAAAGGGTTCGCACACGTGTCCTGAGACATTGGGCGGTCCAGGTCAGGTATGGGCGCAGTGATGGTGAACCCCAAAGCAAGCCAAAGACCGAAACAAGAAATTGAATAAATAAGCAAAAGGGGCCAAGTCAACAGATGTCAACGGAAGCGAGAGCGAGCCTCAGCAAATCGACCAAAATTGGACCAGAAGCAAAAAAAAGCAGTAAGATGAGCAAGTGAAAGCAAGAGATTCGCCCTCGATAGCGTTCCAAATTGCGATTCGTCAATGCATTGTGAGTTGTCCTAGCCTTTGCTCGGATGAGTTGTCGAGGTGGTAGTGAAAGAGAAGTCAATGAAACAGGCAGGCGTTCCTCGAGCGACGCGCTCCAAACGATAAACCAACAGGGTCGCCAAGAACGAGCACGCTATCCATATTAGGCTAGCTCCGATGCTCTACATTGCCAAGAGGTCCCGAAACCCCCACCTTGACCTCCAAAGCACCCCGGCACCTAACAGCCCAGCGCGGGGCAGCTGTTCCTCAGGGCCTCCACCGCCGCTTTCAGTCTGACCTCTAAAACCACCACCCATCTCGTGTTCCTGATCTTCCCCCTTTCTCCTTCCTTCCTCGATTTACGGTTCGGGTCTAAAATCTGGGCTGTTTACCTCTCGAAATTGCGTCATCTCATCTTTTAATCTTACCACATCCCCAATCCCCATTCTTCCTCGCCAATACCCCGCATCACCTTCGAAACTACTTGCCTGCCTGACCTGCTGCTATTCCGAGCTCAGGTAGCACAGGTAACACCCAACTTAACATCAACCTCCACACTCCTGGTCGGTACCTTACAATATCGACACCGCCACCCAAGAATGGAGAACCACGACAGGGCGATCCTAGAGGCTTCGGCTAAACACCCGATCGTGCCCCTCGAGAAGGGCAAGTTTTACACGTATGGCACCGCCGGCTTCCGCATGAAGGCCGACTTGCTCGAGGGCATTTCGTTCCGTGTTGGCCTCCTCGCCTCTCTCCGGAGTCGCAAGCTTAACGGTCAGGCCATCGGTGTTATGATCACCGCCAGCCACAACCCGGCTGCCGACAATGGTGTCAAGATCGTCGATCCCCTGGGCGAGATGCTCGAGCAGGACTGGGAGCGTTACGCTACCGCCCTAGTCAACGCCACAAGCGACGAGCAGCTCGTCGAGGTCTACAACAGACTGGCTACGGACCTCAAGATCGACCTCAAGGCTTCCGCCAAGGTCGTCTACGGTCGGGACACGAGGGCCCTCGGGACACAAGCTGGTCACAGCCCTCGCCGGCGGTCTCGAGTCTACCAAGACCGAGTACGTCGACTTCAAGATTCTTACTACGCCCCAGCTGCACTACCTCGTACGGGCCACCAACAGCGAGGGCACACCCTTGTCATATGGCAAGGTCAGCGAGCTCGGGTACTACGAGAAGCTTGCCGGGGCCTTCGTGCGCGCCATGAAGGGCAGGAGGATCAATGGGGCTCTACAGGTGGACTGTGCCAACGGCGTTGGCGGTCCCAAGCTATCCGAGTTCCTTAAGCACATCCCCAAGGACAAGGTCAACTTTGATGTCAAGGTTGTCAACGACGATGTTCTCCGGCCTGAACTGCTCAATCTCGACGTGCGCACCCCACCCCTTTTTGCATTGGACATTGCTAACCCCCATCTAGTGTGGTGCCGATTTCGTCAAGACGAAGCAGAGGGCCCCTCCCAACCCTAAACCCCAGCCCGGGCTCAGATCCTGCTCACTTGACGGTGACGCTGACCGGTTGATCTACTACTGGCAGGATCCTGAGGGCGGTTTCGTCATGTTGGACGGCGACCGTATCTCGTCGCTCGCCGCTTCCTTCATCGGTGACCTCGTCGAGAGCGCCGGTCTCAAGGACGATCTGCGTATTGGCGTCGTGCAGACTGCCTATGCCAACGGCGCCAGCACAAACTACATCACCCAGCACCTAAAGTTGCCCGTCATCTGCACTCCGACTGGCGTGAAGCACCTCCACCACGTGGCTCAGGGCTTTGATATTGGAGTGTATTTTGAGGCCAACGGTCACGGCACGGTTCTCTTCTCCCCGGACGCCCTCACCGCCTTCAAGACCAAGGAGCCGCAATCCCCCGCCCAAAAGGACGCGCTCGATACTCTAGCTGCCCTGGGTGATCTGATCAACCAGACGGTCGGCGACGCCATCTCAGACGCGCTCATGGTCGAGGTAATCCTAGCTCACAAGAACTGGACGCTCCGCGACTGGGCCATGACGTATGCCGACCTCCCCAACCGGCTCGTGCGCGTCGAGGTGGGCAACAAGGACTTGTTCCAGACGACCGATGCCGAGCGGCGCCTGTCGGCCCCGGAGGGCGCACAAGACGAGATCGACCAGGCGGTCAAGAAGTACAAGGACGCGCGCTCCTTCGCCCGCGCCAGCGGCACCGAGAACGCTTGCCGCGTCTATGCCGAGGCCGCCAGCCGTTCCGAGGCCAACGAGCTTGCCGAGCGCGTCGCTAGGATCATTGAGCGCTACGGGACCCTCTAGGTCCGGGACCGAGCCGTTTCATCGTCATCGCTGGAGCCGGACCCCATCCCAGCCACCACCATCACCACCCTCTCCGCGCTCCACGTCGACTTGCACATCGAGGGCAGCCCACGCCCCATCCACGCCCAAGACCGCAACCTCAACCGCAACCGCAGCGTCTCGTTGTTCTCCCCGCTGCGGCCTTCCCCACGCCACCAACACCACCCGCACCACTTGCGGTTTGACCCGCTCGGCAGATACACCACTACTACCACTGCAGATAATTTTGTGTTTGAGATGGAGGAGGACATCCAGGAGAGGGAGCGCCTGCGCCTGGCCGGCGGCGTGCCCAAGTACATCAGCCCCGGCAGCAGCGGGGAGGTGTCGCCGGACCTGGCCTCCACGCCGTCCGATTCGATACTGGGGGCCTGGCATTCGAAGCTGGGGGAGGAGACACCGAAACTTGGGGATGCTGAGGAAAGGGAGGAAAATGGGACGGGGGAGGTGTTGTTGGTGGCGAGTTAGGAAGGCCGAGAGGTAGTCACTACTAGATTTGGTTGAGCTTAGCCAGAAAAGAACTGCAATGAAAAGGGGGGTTGAGGGTAGGAAGGTGCAAGAAGAAAAAAAGAATGGAGGAAAAGTTGAGGTTGAGACAAAAAAAAGAAGAGAGAATCGGAGCGTTCTTGTCGTAGTTGTTTTGCATCTCTCTGCTTCAGTTGCTCTGCTCTCTGCGTCACTTCTTGCCTGGTTTCATGGTTAGGTGGCTTTCTTTTCGAGTTTTCGAGTAGACGAAAGGGTGGTGGATATGGGAGGATGGGAGGAAAATGAGATGACAACCAATGATTGACGATGATTATGACCAAGACAATGAATGGCCTTTAGTCTCTACCGAGCAGGAAAAGAGGAAAAAGAAAAGTAAGAAGTTTAGCAAACTTGAAAATGATGTAGACGGGTGGTAGGGTACCCCTTTGGCGGATGACGGGAATGAAAAGCAACGAGACAAGAGATCAATCATGTAATAGGTATGTATCATGTGGCATGAGTGACAGGACCGTCCATAGGGGTGGCATGCGCCAGGAGTATGGATAGGTAGACGCCAAATAACGAGGTCCCTCTAATATTTCTCCCACGCATACAAACGGGTATCCCTATTCATCAAGACACTCAATATCATGCACCGCAATACTCGTCACTTTCTCTTTTCCACTCTGTCTCTCTTCTGTCAGCCATGCAACGACGAAAGCCCATAGAAACGCCATTTGACCCTTCTCTAGCGTGAAAACCAAAGCCCACCATTTAGCCATAGTAAGGCTAGCCAGTCCATCCTGCGCCGGTAGCCCTCGGGAGCCTTTTATTTTCACTCCTCTACCCTTGCCCTTGCCACATCAGCCAGCATCCCGCCTCGGCCACGGCATATTCCCGCTTGGTTTGCGCTTACTAGCACATCTTGTACAGGCAGGTCCCGCCGGCCTGGCGGTTCGGGTCGGAAGTCTCGAGGCGGTACTCGACCTTGATGTCGAGGTCACGCTTGTTCTTCTCGTTGGGGCGGTTATGCAGGGCGCACTCGACCTTCTCGCCTTGCTGGACGGTGAGGACGTCCTGCAGGTAGAAGACGGTCTGCTTCCAGTGGGTATACTTAGTGTGGGGGCCCGTTGAGAAGCGGATCGGCTTGTGGCAGGCCGTGAACTCGATGTCGAACCACGCTACTAGCGCGTGGATGAAGTCGTCGCGCCGCGCCGTCAGGTCGAACGGGCAGCTGAAGGCCAAGTCGGCCGTCTGTACCTTGTAAAGGTCGAGGGTCAGGACCGGGGTCGGGTCTGTTACGACCGCCTTCATCTCGACGGTGTCGACGAGGGGCTCTGAAAGGGCGGTATCCTTCAGAGGGCTGTAGTCGAAGCCGTAGACGTTATCCCAGACTTTGTGGTGGTTAGTAGGAGTGGGGAGGAAACGTTTGGGCGGGTGGAGAACGTACATCCGATCTTCTCCTCCTTGTAATCCCCGTCCTCTATTCCAGCGACAAAGATGGTAGCCTTGTCAGGGAAGATCAGGCCGTCCTTGTTCAAGTACGTGTCACGAGCATACAGCACTGTGTCCAGCATGCTCTCGTACAGGAGGAAGTAGCCCATCCACTCGGAAATGATAATGTCGACCTTGGGGAATGGCATTTCGATCTCCTCCATCTTGCCCTGGATCAGTGTAATCTTGTCCGACAAGCCGTTGACCTTGACGATCTCGCGCGCCTTGAAGATGATGGTCGACATGTCGACTCCGATAACGTGCTTCGCGCCGGCCTTAGCGGCGAACCTGAAGGTGTATATTAGCCCCTGGTCTTGCGATCCTCAGGTGAGAGGGGAGCACCATACATGGAGAGAATGCCGGTGCCACATCCTACATCCAGCACGATCTTGTCCTTGAAGATGTGCTTGTTTTGGACGATAGCGTTCATGTATGACCTTGTCCGAACCTCATCTTTCTGCAACGGCGCACGCGCGCAAGTTAGCCGGCTTCGTCTTTTGCTTTCAAGGGGCGGTGGCGGAATAACGAGAGATACACACCAACATTTCCTCGTGGATGCCTTATCGAGGGGTCGCAACGGTTAGCCAAGAAGCCCGTGTTAGAACAAACAGCAGATTCAGCTCACCATGGTGGTTATAGCTGGAGCAAAATAGTTAGCATTGGTATGCGACCGAAGATATCTCAAGACCAAAGGGAAAAGAAACATGCCTGTTGAAGTAGTGCTGCTCCGAGTGGTCGAGCGACTTAAGCTGCTTCTCGGCAACCTCGATTTCCATTCCCTCGCCAGCCATTCTGATGTGCAGGAAGAATTTGGAGGAGTGAAGGCGACCACGTTTAGGTAGGTAAAAGTGTAGATAGGTATGGTTCTGAGATCCTCCAGGAAAAAAGAAGAAAGAAAAGACTAGGTAGGCAAAAAAAAGTTGAGGATATAGGCAAGTCCGATGGGGTCTGGACTTGGGCTTGTTCTTTGCGCAGAGAATTTGGGTGGAAAATTCCAAGGCGGCCCGCTAATCGAATGTGGGGAATATTGCCCCGCAGTGTTGTCTTCAATTGTAAAACACGCCGCTTATGGAGGAAGGGGCGTCGTGCGTGTGAGGTGAGATTCCGATAAGCCGATAAGCAGGCGGGAGAGTATCAAGTTGGTTAAGTATATAGGTATACAGATCTAAGGAGGATCAGATTCCTTCCGAGATGATACCGGCACAAAGACAGGCTTCGGCACTAAACCTTAATTGTAGGTATTATGGGACGGTTTCGCCAACTAAGTCCTCTTACATGGCCTCGGGGAGGCGTATTCAGGGGGCTAAAACCACCGAACCTTGATAACTACCTATGTGTTTACCCCACTTGGCCAACAGGCAAACAAGGCAAACAAAGTGTGTCTGCCCTGTTTCAGAAGTGGAATGCAATGTTTTGATAGCAGCCCCCTAGATCATGTTCGCCTGATATCTGCCCGAAATCTACCAAAGACCAACCAAATTCATGAGATCCTGGCACAGGAACTCCAACCTATACCCAAACGCCAGATGATGCATACCGAATATCAACGCTGGCTACCTTAGAGAAAAACCAGGTACATTCACTCTTCTCAAGCCATACCCGCCAGCTGCAACAACCGCGTGCCCACTTTCAGGTTGGCATACTCGTAGGCTTTGGACTCAGGTGGGAAGGTGCCGTTAGCAGCCCAGAGGTCGATCAGGGGCTGCATCGGCTCCAGCTCCTGCGGCTTGAGCATGTCCAGCGCCGTGGCTGTCAGCACGAAGTGGCTGAAGCAGCTGTTGAGCTGCTTCTCCAGGTTGAGGTGGTAGAAGGGCTCCACAAAATGCGCCCAGTACAGATGGGCATAGACGCGGAACATTTGCAGGAAAATGGTCTTGCAGATGCTGGCGAAATCCTTGGGAAACCCGCTACGCTTGCCGACCCACTCATCCGGATTGGCAAGAAGAGCAGTATTGGCGATATTGGGGTTGTGGGAGAACGAAACCCCGGCGGCTTCGGTCGGGAAGATGTTGGTGTCGTCGACTTTGCTCGAAATCCACCGCTGCATGAGAGCGATGTACTCGATTGCTGGCAACTCGACACGCTCGTAGCGATCACCGGATTTGTTGAGCCATGTGTAAGAGTGGTTTCTGCGGCGGACGATCAGCACTTGGGTTAGATCATAGCACATCGGACGCAACTCACGGCCCGGCAGACATGCGGGGGCATGTGGTGGCGTTGCAGAGGTTCTTCCCGTTGGACTCCTTGGCGTACACAACATGGACAAAGTTCCATAGGTTGCGGTAATGCTCAACCACTACAGATGAAGTCAGTGATGAAGCGTAGAATGAGATGAATATTCATTACCGTGGTGGGCAATCCATTCGCCCTGCTCGACCGTCTTGGGTCTGCTGCTGAGCGTCATAAAGTTGCCCTTGACGATATGCTTTGCGTAAGCGGGGTTGAGCCAAATGGGCAGCGGCTGAGGAAGGCGATATGAGCTCAAGACCTCGTCGCCAGTGGACGCCATGCCGATGGTTTGAGAGAGCGCGGGCGATGCTGGGAGTGGCGGGAGCTTAGAGGCGGATAGGTTGCTCGCTGATAGGTTGCTTGATGACTTGCTCCTCTTGGAAAGGCCTCCAGGCGAGTGGGTTGGGCCATCTTCGACTACAGGTGACACGGGACTCTTCGCGCTGGCCTGCTTGCTCGAGGTTCCCCTCAGCCGGGCATTTCTGGAAGGTGGGGTCAGCATCGTTGGTATACCTGCAAGCCTATGTATCACACTAGGAGCTACATGCGTAACTCGAGAGCGGAGGCACATAAGTGGACAACCAGCTTGTCGACAGTCCGTCCCGAGGATGGGGGTGATCTGAAGACAGAAACTTACATGCCGGAAAATAGGTTAGACATTGCAATGAAGGCCCTGGTGGTAGGCCGCTATCAATGTGTGGAAGTATTTGGCGAGAGGTTTGGAGGGCTGAGGTGCTTTCCGTCTTTGCTTTGCTTTTCGCCGTTTCACCGGTGGTCGGTGTGCAGGGCAGAGGTAGAGATAAGATGGGAGAAATAGGCCAGGCTCTGGATGTAGGATGAAACAGACTACTTAAGTTTGGTGATCACCCACTCGGTATGCCGCTTGACACCACTTCCAAATTGACGAGAATTGGGTTCAAGTTGCAAGAGACTCTGAGTCGGAGTAAACGCACACAAGTAGTGCCAGCACCGAAGTAAGAAAGGGGAAGGAACAGTGAAACTCGCTTGGCCAATCAATGCCAAGAAATCAGGGGTCCATGCTGCGTTGTTTCTTGGCATATGTTGGCAAGGGCAGCAGGGCAGGCAAAGGACAGATGTGGCACGTGAGCGCGTGTGCAGTTGGTGGTGAACTGCCCCACCTCGAGGTCACTTTCATCGAGATGGAACCAAAAGATCCGCGTCTGCCAAGAGATCCGTACCCTCTCGGCCCGCAAACTTGAGTGCAATTACATGCATTTCCATGCATCACAATCAGGCAGCCACGGGTCGCTAAGCCAACCGAAGCAGAGGGAGAGACATTCTCAGGAGTTAAAAAATGCCAAATCGCGCTCTTCGGGGAGATGGAGCTGCCAATAATTCCAGTGGTTTTAGTGCCTTCAGACAGTCATTGCACTTGCACCCGCACCAACAAACCATTCCCAGCTCAATTCCCCCAGAGCTTTTACAGAAAAAGGTGATGAAATCACCATCGCTCAGCGAGAAGGTTGCTTTCTTCAACCAGCTTGATGCTCTTGACAATGTGAGCGATGGAGACGACGAGGTTGATGAGAAGGAGCAAGATCACCGAAACAAGTGCTGGGCCTTTTTCAGTTCCCGAAAACGAAACAATCCTGGACCAGTTCAAGAAACCCAAGAAAAAGGAAAGCCCAAGGCCCCTTCCCACCAGCGAAGAACGGCATCGATGCCTACCCCGGCTGGAGCTACGCCAGGCTCCCGGGTCATTGAAGCTACTCCTGCAACTCACAACATGAAGACGAGACAGGCTGCGGGGCTTGGAGAGTTCCTCACAAACACTACTTCGTTCGTCGAAGAGACACCAGTCCCAGACACCACTCGCCCACTCCCCGCAACACTTCGGAGGAGTGCAACTCTCCCACCTAATTCTTCGTCAACGATGGAGCAGTCACCCTCGGCAAGCACCGCATTGAGAAAGCGGAAGCGGCAGTCATCAACCAAGTCGATACCCGAAGCCGCTCAGGTGTTCAGGGGCCTCTCATTCTATTACATTCCCAATAACGACATCGCCCCTGCAAGAAAGTTACGCATCGGCAAGGCTCAGGACTACGGTGCCCGATGGGTGCGGAACCTGGAAGACGCCAGCCACACCATCGTCGACAAGTACCTGGAATACAAAGACATCAAGAGTGTGCTTGGCTCTGAGGTTCCGAGCTCTCTGGTGATTGTCAACGAGGACTATCCCATCGACTGCATCTCCTTCCGCACACTACTTAACCCAGACCAAAATCGGTACAGGGTCGCAGGCTGCCCTGAGAAAAAAGACCAACTTGCCCCTGACAAGGCCCCGTCCAGCCCATCCCGGAGCCCCGATCACTCGTTACAAGTCAAACCACCTCGGACATCAAGTAGACGAGACTCGGCAGACACACCGCCCGAAAATGGACCAGCGCCTCTCCACGGTGATGCCCAAATCTCACGAAGAGGACCAGAAAACCAGACTTTGGGGGGCATCGCGGGGAGTCCGTCGGAGGCACACGCTGGCCAGGTTCGTCCGGCGATACAAGATAACGGGTCAATAGAAAAAGCCCCGCCTCCCCCTCCCCCTGGTCGAACATCGAGCACCAATGACGAGTTGTCGGAGTGTATCGAACTCCTCCAACAATATAAGGACCTCCCACTCGACACAGAAGAGGACGATCTCCAGTCCGCCAAGGATGCTCACGAAGCAGACTCAAACTCGGAAATCGAAGAACGGTCAGAGGACGAGCGAGCCCGGAAGAGAACCGCCACAACACACCGCAAAGGCCAAAAGAACATCCCCTTCGAAGAGCGCTTCGCCTGCAACCGCGGCGGAACCAAAGACCAGACCACCGACGCGAACAACCCCAACGCCAAAACCATCGAAATCCTCCAAAGCATGTGCGACTACTACACCCGCACCAACGACACCTGGCGCATCATGGCCTACCGCAAAGCCATCGCCACCCTCCAGCGCCAACCCACCAAGATCACCACCGCCGCCGAAGCCGCCCTCCTCCCCAACATCGGCCCGCGCCTCGCCGCCAAAATCCAAGAAATCGCCACCACCAACCGCCTGCGCCGCCTCGACTACACCCACGACTCCCCCCTCGACCAGGCCCTCGCGCTCTTCCTCGGCGTCTACGGCGCCGGCTCCGCCCGCGCCCACCGCTGGATCGCCCAGGGCCACCGCTCCCTCGCCGACCTCCTCGCCCCCAACAGCTCCGCCGACCTCACCCCGCACCAGCGCCTCGGCGTCGAGCGCTACGCCGACCTCAACGCCCGCATCCCGCGCGCCGAGGTGGGCAAGCTGTTTGCGTACGTGCAGCGCGAGGCCGCGGCGATCGATCCCGGCGTGGAGGTGCTGGTCGGGGGCAGTTATCGCCGCGGGGCGGACAGCTCGGGGGATGTGGATGTTATTGTCACGAGGAGGGGCACGGTCCGCGCGTTGGAGCTGGTGCCGTTCTTGGAGGAGCTGGTGCAGGTGCTGACGCGGAAGGGGTTCCTGGTGGCGACGCTTGCCGCGCTGCATGCCAATCGTGCGGGGCAAGATGGGCCCGGCGGTAAATGGCATGGGTGTTGTGTGCTTCCTCCGGACGAGGAGAGAGCCGACACCAACGCTGATGCTGACGCTGGCGGTGGCAGCGGTAGTGGCAGCGGTAGTGGCGTGCCACAAAAGGAGCCGATCTGGCGACGGATCGACTTCCTGCTGGTTCCGGAGGCCGAGTACGGGGCGGCACTGATCTACTTCACGGGCAACGACATCTTCAACCGCAGCCTGCGGCTGCTGGCGTCCAAGAAGGGCATGCGGCTGAACCAGCGGGGGCTGTACAAGGAGGTGCTGCGCGGCAAGAACAGGGCCAAGATCACCGAGGGCCAGCTGTTGGAGGGCAGGGATGAGAAGCGGATTTTTGAGCTACTCGGCGTCAAGTGGCGCGAGCCGTGGGAGCGGTGGTGCTGAGTTGGGTCCGTCGGTCGGGGGTTATGAGGTTATGGATACCATTGTTCCATTGTTTGGATGTGTATGACTTGGAAAGGGAACGAATGCATTGTATTGGAAAGCGGTTGTGCTGAGTTGGGCCGGGGGTTGTAAGGTTGGGGGTTTATGAGGTTATGGTGATGCCAGTGTTTGGATGTGTATGATTTTGAAGATGAAGGAATAAAAACATTGCATTGGATTTAGTTAGTCTTTTTCTTTTTTTTTTTTTCTATTTCTCTTTTTCTATTTTCTTTAAATTTTCTTTTTTTCTTCCTCCCCCCCCCCCTCCTTTTCTTCATATCTCAAAAGTTGGGGATTCGGTAGGTAGTAAAGGACTCACTTCATTAAATGAGGCGACTGGTTGATTATGCATTTCCAAACCTCACTCAGCTTGAGACGGTCAAGTAGATGTTGATCTTATGTATTAAGATGATGACTACTAATTAACCCCAACTCCAGCCCAAACCCAAGTGTAGCCTCCCTGTATGTGATGCACCCGAAAGTCGTGACAGTCATCCGAGCCAGTCGTAACGTCATCAACCCCAG